TGCTGTGTGGTGGTTGGGGTGGGGGGGGGGGGGGGGACGGGACACCAAGATCACTTAGCTGTCCTTTACCCCGTCCTACATCTGGGGAGGTCTGCTTCTTCCCAACACACATCGCCATTTCCTGCAACTTCAGCCATCGGCCGTGTTGCACACTGGGCACCCCCAGAGGAAGAAGGGTGGAGCTGCAGGTGACCTTGAGGCCTTCACCCTCTTGTGGATCTGCTGAAGTCTTGGGGAGGGCAGGAACTGGGGGCTCAGGCCAGATACTCTGGATCTCAGGAGGCCAGGAGCACAGCTGACTTCTGGGTATGTCACTGTGTGGGGCATGACAGGAGATTAGCAAGCTGATGCCGGAACCACCCATGCAGCAAACCTCTTTATAGCCATGGTTCTGCTTTAAAAGCTGTTTTTGAAGATGGACTCTCGGACTCATTTTATTTGTGCTCTCTATACTATTAGTGAAACCACCTCTGTGCATGTCTAGCCGGGTGCTGAGGCAGTCAAAGACGCTTGTTAACTGAATGACTTTTTCAGGACTCTAAACTCTACATAATCTATATGTTGTTACATTTACAGTTGACAGTATAGTGGGTGGGTTATTTGATTTTCTTTTGGTTGAGAACATCAATCTCAGAACCTTCAGTGAGCACACGTTTTTCAGGCTCGTATAGACCTAGAAACTTAAAAATGAGAACCCCCTCCCATTGCTTCATTTAAATATGTTCCACTTGCTTAACAAGGAAATTTAGAGGGAGTAATAAAAACGGAGTATTTAACTTCTTTCTGAATGTGTGGCAGCATCTGCACCCTGATTGCATTTGTTCATTAACTTCATAATGGCTTTGGAGCCCAATGCTGTCCTTGTTAGAGCTCTGCATTCCTCACGCTAAGGCTAAGCCTGTCTAGATGGGCTCCCACTGGCTCTCCATTGAGAAATCAGCCAGGCCCTGTGTCGGTGACTCCCCATGGCCCCTTCCTGGCCTATACCTAAGAGCTGTAGAATATGCTCGAATGGTGTTAATGAATAACAGAAATAGATTTCCACTTCTCAAAAAAGAGCTTTGGTGTTTCTGAGACTAATTAAGGCATCTGAAGAAGTAACTGGGTCATCGCCGAGTAGTCTCAGTGGTGATGATCAGTTTAAGAGGGGAGAGGCTGATTAAGCTTCACCTTGGGACTTTTAATTATGTCTTGGAAACTTGTATGCAAATAGACACCCACTGCTAATAGCTGATATTTTAAAACTTATTATAAAGATTTAAAAAATGGCTAATGTATTTTTAGCTTCTTGGCTTCTTTTTAGTATTGGGAAATAATAGCATTAGATGAGAGTAGACTACCAATAAGTAGACAGTTATTAAATATGTTACATAGGATTGCTCCATTATAAGGGAATCCCCTGGCCATGACAATGCATTCTTGCAGTGGACTTTCTTAAAATAGACTTTTAAAGTCATGTTTCTAGGCCATTGGCACCAAGATGAAATAAATAGGGCCCAACACATTGCCAGTAAATTAGTAAGTGCAAAAAAGTCATGTTAAAATTTTTTTTATACATTTGGGCAAAAGCTAAAGAGCAAAAATTAGGTGTGAATAATTTTTTAAAAAGATGGTGGGCTGGCTCTGTGGTTCTGTGCTTGAGGGAGCCAGATCCCACAGGGCTGACTGTGCAGCTCGAGTCCTGGCTCCCGTGGCTTGAGAAACATACTGGCCATGTGTGTGCATGGGGCCCACAACCTGACAAATGGAGAAGTGGAGGAAAAGGGATGGTGGCATGACTGCGCCCCATTGGAGGTGGGGATGGTTTTTCCTTCTCCTCTCCCGATACAAAAAATTCAGAAAAGGAGATCTCATTCTCACTGTCCTCTGAATTTCTTCTTGGTGACGTGCAATTTTGTGGGTAATCTGGGGCTATGGTGGGCTTATTGGTTGGGGTCTAAAACACATGGTGAGCTGGAATGCTTGCAGAGGAGGGGAGGAGGGTCATCCATCTGTTCAGGCAGAATCGAAGGTTTTGAAGAACCAGGTTTCGCTTTTGCAATCACATGGATAATACTACGTTCAAACAATCTAACTTGGCTGCTTAAAAGAAATCTGTTTAATGGAAGTAGAGGAGCTAAATGGGAGGAATGAACGTTTGTCTCATCCTCAGTGAGTTTGGGAAGCTACTTGCCCAGCTCCAGGTTGGGGTCCTTGTGTCTCATGCAGCACTTGCTTAATTTAAGTGGTGGTTACTGTGTGCAAAGTCGGCGGCTCCTGCGTTGTGCAGGGGAAGATACTGCCCTGATCATAAGAATTTGCTTAATGCTTGTTACAGATGACTCTCAAACTTCCTTACACAGTTAATCCTGGCCATGTGTCCAAGAGATGAAGGCATATTTACCTCTTTGCAGATGGAGATTTTTGCCTGAAGTCTGTGCTGGGGGACAGAGGAAAAGTAGTTCTCTTCCTCTTTTTCAGACTTCATGAATATGCAAGATGTATTTGTGTCTACATGCAAACCCCAGTGGTAGAACCATGAGGAGCTCCCCCAACTCTCCTCCCTTCTCTTTGCTGTCTTGGCTTTCTCCTTTCTTTTGTCATTCCTCCTTCCTCCAGAAGCTTCCTGATCTTTCTTCCTTCTCCCCCAACCTCCCACTCTTAGCCTCTTGGTCTAGGTCTACCTGAAGAGCATGCATCTAGTCAGAAGGGACTAACTCAGAGGCCATTTCCCTGTCCACACAGCTAGGCAGAGCAGCCCTCTGGCTGCAGCAGCTGGGGGCTTTCTGCTGTAGACACAGACTCAGTGGGTTCACTTTCAGCCTTGGGTCTTGAAGAAAAGAAACTTTTAAATAGTGCAGCTTGATAGTTAAAGGTTGCTGTACTTTCAGCTTGGGCATTATCCCCTTTCCCTTTTTTTACAACGTGGTTTTCTTGTACTTAGTTTAAAAAATGCTGGCTGTCATAGCAGTCAGGCTGAGACATGCTTTGGAGAGGCAAAACAGCAAAGCTGAGCCCGTAGCCTGCAAAGGTGGAAATCCAGCCCCTTGACACCCATGAGGCTCCAGAGGGGAAGCTGCCAGCAGGAAATATTTCAACAGCACACATACAAAAAGAACTGCCTCTTATTTAAGAGATTTCATTTGCATGTTTCTGTATCTTTACAGTTTATTTATTTAAGGTTAAATGTTTTGGTATTTGTTATTCATTTTCCAGTTTTTCTCCTTTTCAAAAACCCATATTTCCTTTGAGATTAAAGTATTCGAGGCATTAAATAACTTTTTAAAGTATTAAATGAAAATTGTATTCTTCTGTGGCCCAAAGCATCTACCTCTTTCCTCTTTCCTGCTTTCCTTTGTCGTTATGCTCTCTCTCTCTCTTTCTCTCTCTCTTTCTTTTTTTTTCTTATTAGAATCTGGAGCCAGACTTCTTGGGTCTGAATCCTGGCCCCACCACTTGCTAGCTGTGTGTGTTTGAATAGATAACGTAACCTCTCTGTGTTTCAATATTTTGATTTATGACGATGGGGATAGTAGCAGTACCGCCTTTCCAGGCGTGTTGTGAGGATTAAGTGAGTTGATACTTATGAAGTACTGGAAACGGAGCCTGGTGTAGAGTCATGCTAATAATAAAAATGAAATGCAAAAATAAAGACAGAAGTCAGTCAAGGAAATACAGTCAGGCAAGAACATAAAACGATCGGTAAGCCTACCTCTTCATCATGGAAGTAATCTCTATGAATGGTCTTGCTTTTTCCCCACAAATTTGCACCCAAGGCCAATTTTATTTGTAAAACTTTTGTAAAAATTTGATCATATTCTTTTAGGACCTGATTTTTCCTCTACATTTTACAAAGTATCACACAACATGTTCAATTTTACTAAAATGCTTCTTCTTCAACACAATTTTTTCAGTATGTTTGTTTATTCTTTATTTCCATGAGAGTGAGAGATTGAGAGAGAGAGAGAGATTGAGAGAGAGAGAGAGAGAGATTGAGAGAGAGAGACCCCAAACGCTCCCCATGCTACAATCCACCCCTAGTTTCAGACAGCCCAGATAATGGCCTTGCCTGGGCCCTACCGAGGGAGGCCCCAGGCACCATCCGGGATCTTCGCAGGCAGGTCTGATTGTGTTACCACTTTGCTACCACTAGCCTTTCAACACAATTCTTAATTCTTTTTTTTTCTTTTTAGATTTTTTCTTTTTCTTTTTTAAAATTTGCCATAGGATGCCTGAGCTTTTCACAGAGAGACAGAGAGGGAAAGTGAGAAATCACTCCCTGCGGGGAGGGGGGGGGATGGCTGTGCTGCAATCCCTTCTCCTCCATTCTTCACTTTGACCATTGTGGGCATGCACACACATGCGCCTGGCATGCACAGTTTTCAGTTCTCAGTGGCTGGGTGAATTCTACTGCATGGCTCCACAGTAAGTTATTTTATGGATCTTTTATTGTGAACCTGCAAAGTTCTTGTTATAAAGCATTTCTTGACAATAATTCTGAACCCCCTCCCCCCAGTTGTTATCACAATATCACTATCTTTTATCTCATCTCTTTCCCATCCTGTGGGCAGCTCCCCATGGCCCTTCCCCCGTCGCCCTGCTCTCTACACAGCCTCTATTTCTGCCCTGGCTTCTAGAAATGCTGTTCTGGGAGATTCTGTGGTTGTCAAAACACCTTGTTTAAACAGCAAACGTTCACACCCTTACAATTAAAGTACAGTAGAACCAAAGACTTCACCAAGGCATTAGGAAACACAAATGCCTCCTTCTCAAGGCCAGCAGACCGGAGGTGCAGTGGTAGCCCCCTTCATGTGCTCAAGGACCAGTGGAACAATCTCTACGATGGGAATTCA